TTTCTCTCTTTTTCTCTTTCGCTTTTTCTAAAACGGTAACTCTAACTCTCACTCTTACTCTTACTCTCATTCTCACTCTCATTCTCGTTCTAGTTTTCCCTTTCTTTTTAACTCTCTCTCCTCTTTCCCACATTTCTTTTATTAGAAGACGCAATTATAATACGATTAATGATTTTATTAGTTGATAATTTTCAAATATGCTTATTCACCCTAATCCCCTTTTCCATAACTCTTGGGATATCTCTGGGTTTTATTTATTTATTTATTTATTTTTTTTCAATCGAAGTATACATTTATTTATTTATATATAGAATCTATTAATATGTTACGGATTCATTATTTACAAATTCATCATTTTTTGCATTTCTATTTCTTCTTCTCTTCTTCTTCTTCTTCTTCTTCTTTTTGTTATTGTTATTTTAATTTTATTTTTTCGCTTTTAATGAATTCTTATTTTTTTTTTCCACGATTCTCTTCTTTTATCTTTTTTATTTTTTTCTACATTCATTTTTATCATCTTTACTTTTTCTTTTTATCCACAATTTTTGCCCCATATTTTTTGTTATCGCGTGCGTGTATTCATCATCCCTTAGGGGTTTTTTTTTTTTATCTTTTTGTTTCTTTTATCGTAAAAGAATTTCCATGGATTTTTCGTTCGGGGAAAGCTCGGTCGACTCGGTATTTTAATGCGTAGACAATTTTTTTTTCTCTGTCTGTCTGTTTGTCTGACTGTCTGTCTGTATGTCTGTCTCGATTTTATCGCGACGACTGAAATTATGTATTTCCTTCTCTTTCTCTCTTTTTCTCTTGTACTAACTCTTCCTTTCTATTTTTTTTCTCATTTTATTTTTCTTTCTTTTTCATGTACCATTCCACCACCATAGCTATATATATATATATATGTTCAGTCTTGAGAATATACACCGTAGGTATAAAGGGTAGCATTACTACGAATCATATTTACGTAATAAAAAGATATGAATATTTCCTTATATCATCGTATTGGAATTGTTTTTATTCGTAGAATCGTTCGAATACAAGTATACAATAACAATAATAATAACAATAATAATAATAATAATAATAATAATAATAATAAGGTATCATAAATATAAAGTCGTGAATAAACCATTGAATTAAAAAACAAAGCCTGTCTATTTCATCAAAGAAGATAAGAAGTTATTATCACTACGAAGATATGGCGTTGAGACTATTGAAAGATTTAGATTTTTTATTGAAGGAACAAACAAAATGGTTTGTTAATATTGATACAATTAATTTTTTGAATAAAGTATTTGTTAGCAATATACAAAGATGCTAGATTTATATTACAAATATCAGGCGTTGAAGTTGGATATAATTTTGATAAAGAAATTCTGTTACAAATCAATAAAATCAATATTTAGACCACATTCCTAGAGATTATAGTTTGAAGGATGTTAATAAGCTAAAAGAAGACAGAACCATCTTTAATTTAGTATCAATACCAAGAGTGAGATTACATAAGTATCTAAATTTGACAGAGGCAGAAAAGATTTTATATTTATTGTTTTTGCAATGATTAATGAAACTGTTTTACAAAAAACAAAAAAAAATGGAAATCAAGCACAAATAGAACAACATTTTCTATCTGTTGCTTATTCCAAATTAGTTAACATTGGAATAAGCATTAAAAGTATCAATAAGTTGTCTAAATGTGGGGTGGTACACATGAGGGAACACTATATGTTCATCAATAAATCTAAAATGTCGTAAAAACGGAGAACGAAAAGAAAACCAAGTACAAAAAACCTAATCTTGGAAATAACACATTTGGCGTGTTGAAAAAACTGTTGTTGTCTCTATAGTTATCTCAGCTGAAGGTTTGGTGTCTAAAAACTTTGTGAGATATCTCCAGAAGATTGGATTGTCTGTTGATCTAATACCAGTAACATCGAAAACAACCATACTGCAGATTTCACATATTGTCCAAAAATTCTTTACACCATTGGAATCAACTGAATTACTTTTCCAATGGTCAAAAAACCAATTATATTGTGATTTTGAAAGAAAGAAAAACAATAATAATAATAATAATAATAATAAGAATAACAACAACAACAATAATAATAATAATAATGATAATAATAATAAAATCGTATGCTCATTTCTTTTTTTTTTTTTCTTTTACTTTTTTTTTTTTTCGAATAAAATCAACGATGCAACGAATGATGCAGTACGAAGTTCGTTAAGTATGCAATTGGTTGTGTGTTGCACTTGTATTTATTTTATTTGTTCAATTAATTATTATTTGTTAAATTTATTTTACGATTATATTAATTTGTTTTTTTTTTTCATTACATTTCGTTCTTTCAATTTTCCCTTCCCCCTTCACCCTTCCTTTAATTAATTTTTTTGTTTTGTTTTGTTTTGTTTATATCCTCGGTGGATGATCCTTCTTCCTTAAACGTTAATACTTTCACTCGTTTTCAAAGTCTCTTTTTGGTTTTGTTTGTTTTTATTTGCTTTTTTTTTCTTTTTTTCTATTTTTTTTGGTTCTTTTTTTTTTAGAGGTTTAAAAAAATCTTCCTCCTTTCTTCCTTATTTTAAACAACATCGAAGGCCTCGCAGTTACGAACGGGTTTTCATCGTCGAACGTTTAACGATTTTACAGCGAAGAATTTTCATGGGTATTTTGTTTTGATATTATGATTATGATTATTATGATTATTATTATTATTATTATTATTATTAAATTACATTTAATAACGATCAATAGGAAAGTTGAAATTAAAGATCGCTGTTAATTTTGCAAAACATTAACGATACTGTATTTTTAATAGCAATGTGTAATACGAGTAGAAATAATTAGATTTATGTATTTGCATGTTATTATTATTATTATTAATAATATGAATATATTATTATTATTATTTTTTTTTAATAATTATTATACTATCATTATTATTATTATTATTATTATTATTATTATTATTATTATTATTATTATTATTACTATTATTTTTTCTCGTAGCGGATCAACGAATTATTCGCCGATAAAAAACATTTTTTTTTTTTACTATTCAATTACTTTCGATCATTTAAATATCTCTCCTACAACAGTTGTTAACGAATTTAGGAACTTCTCCATGTAAAATACGCGTCACGTATTTTTTTCCGGTTTACGTTTTCCCCTTTTTCGATATCTTCTTGATCCATGATGACTCTCGGATAATTTATTATTTTTCGTTTATTTTAAGAAGACAAAAAGGTTTTGGGAAAAAAAAAAATTGGAAACATTCATTATCACGAATAATGAAAACGCGTGTTGAAGAGAGTGAGGAAAAATGATGATATATTCATTTAGAATTTATATATATATATATATTATTATGTACGTTTACATAATGTATATATAATTTTAACTATACGCGAAAAAATGTTCATTCGAATCACATTAAACGAAGTGTGTTTATTATCGCGAATGTACGAAGTTGCTTTGTATAATTAATTAATTAATTACTCAATTAATTAATTAATCAATTTACATGTTTGTTCGGTGTTTCAGCTTTCTCTCTCTCTCTCTCTTTCTCTTTCTTTCTTTCCTAGTTTTTTATCTTTCTATTTTTTCTTTCATATATATATATATATTTGTTAGTTACAATTGTATTATAATATTCGACACGTGTGTGTATGTATGTATGTATATGTATATGGCATACGCGATATCACACTGACGAACGTCATCAATGATCGTAGGATATTTTCTCGATGATCTATAAATCACGACGACTTCGTCACAAGCGAGTAAAAACAAACTCATCTTTCTTTCCTTTCTTTTCTTTTCGTTTTTCTTGTTTTTAAATTCTTTTTTGTTCTAATTTACGACGAGCAACGGAATGAACGAAATGCGTTTGCCGGAATAAGAGAGTTTAACACTTTTAATCGTGTCATACTTTTTAATGACCTGTTTTTCAGGTTTTCAAAGAAAGCTCGTTAAAAAATAGAATATGTGTACGATCAATAAATTGTTCAACGAAAATTAAAAATTACATATTAAAATTAGAAAAAAAGTGATGGACATTTATTTGAAATGGCATTGTGTAATCTCATTTAATATACAAATTTATGAATAATCTAATACGCTAAACAAAACAAAAAATAATTTAAGAAATGATAATAATAAAAAAGAAATTTATTACGTATTGAAAAGATAAAAATTTTAAACGATATTATTCTTGTTAATCAGAAATTATTTCTATGTAAATTTATTGACGTTAATTCAATATTGTATAAAACAAAAACTACAATTTTCTATCTCAACATTTCCAAACTTTAATAATGTAAAAGTAAATTAAAAGCGAGACTTATCAGATATAAAAAAAAAAAAAAAACTAAAAAAAACTTTATCATAATTTTTTAATTTCCAATGACACGATTGGTATATTACAGTTTTCTTTAGCAAGAAATTATTAGGAAAAGAATAAATTTTTTTCCGCATTTGTCGAGGAAACAAAAAGAAAAAAAGCGATAAATTAGGCATTGGAAAAGTTAGAAAATATTCGTCTCGAGAGAAGTGGCGAGAAACGAGAAAAATGTTCTTCCAAAAGAACCCATCCCCACCCATCTTTCGCTATTTCTTTTTTTTTTCTCTTTCTCCCTTCAGACGGGTGATTTTCTAATAGTTTTATCGGAAAGCGTCTCTCCTCTCGTAACTTCTCGTTTCGGCAACTCGTCGTACGATTTTCGACGTCGTATAGTCTGGCTTTGCATCTGGCAAAGTTTCAAACTCCTATGTCCTCGCAAACACTCGCCAACTAAATTTTCTAAATACGTACGTGCTTAGTAATGCCACTAACTCGACTCGAGTTTTATTTTCTTTTTTTCCATTTCTTTTTACACGATACTTTTTCACTTAATTTCATTTCGTTTCGTTTCGTTTCGTTTCGTTTCATTTCACATTTTATTTTTCATTTAAGTTTTATTTTTTTCATTAATTTCTTTTATACTTTATTTATTCATTTATTTATTCATTTATTTATTTTGTTATTTTTAAATAACCCTCGAGACACCTGAGTTTTAACACTGACCGATGATACGTTGTTTTTATTTTATTTTTTATTTTATTTTATTTATTTCTTCTCTCTCCGACACTTCAACTATTACATTATTTCGTCGAAAAGATTATCGTTTGTCTATTTACTAATAATAATCAACTAATTATCTTTCTCTTTCTCTAGCTTTTTCTTTCTTTCTTTCTTTTTTCCTTTCGTCCAATTCATTCTAATTTCGACTAGGACGATTAATAGGACAAAATAAAAATAAAAAAGAAACAAAAATAATTTTAATAAAAGCGTATATCGCGGATTAAACACACATTCGTGTCTCTTATTCGCGTTTTTCCCCCTTTTTAATCGATTTCACTGTCTCGAGGATAAAAAGGGGAAGAAAGAGAAAATCCTGTTTTCTTTTTTTGTTTGGATACACCAATCTAGGGGGGAAGAAGAGGGGGTTGACTCTTATTTCGGAAACAGGAAATGATTTTTATTTTTTTTCTTCTTCTTTTCTTTTCTTTCTTTTCTTTCCTTCTTATTTTTTTTTATTTCCTTAGGCGACTAATATGCAGAACACGAGGATCAACGTCAACGATGGCATCAGCATATTCGATGAGGCTACTTTTGGGTGTGAATCTTGGTGGGTCTTCACCGATGAATCTGTAACAAGAAAATCAAATATTTTGTTTGTCCTTTCTATATTATCTTTTATTAATAATTTTGCTTTCCTTTTTTTTTTTTAATCAATAGAAAATAACAGAGTAGTAATAATAATAATWAATATTATAATTCTCATATTTTTTAATGCACGATGCAAATGATCGAAAGGTTGAAGAATTGTTTTTTTTATTTAAATCGATTACTTTCCTTTTTCCGTGAGAAACTATTATATATATATATATATATATAAATTTAATTTTTATTCAAAAAGAAAATATTAATAATTAATTTTTACAATCGTTTAGCAATTATTCAACTTACAATTTTAGCCTTTGTGCTAGAGATTTTTCTATATTAAACAAATTCTATGTTAAAGAAAATATTTTCTTTTATTTTAAAAATAAATAATATAAATTTTATACATTATCGAAGAGCATGTTTTGTATTTGTACAAATTACGGTAATTTGACGACGATTCGTTTGACTGCTTGTGGGTAGGGTTTGGTGTTAAAAAAAAAAGAAAAAATAAAAGGGATCGAATGAATTTATACATCTAATATTTAACAAGTTGAATGAAATGGGGTTTTCACTAGTGACCGACGTTACTATATCTTTTTTATGTTTAAATTTTAACAATCTTAAAAAAAAAAAATAACAAAAATTGAAAAAAGTTAGCAAAGTCAAAAAGAATAAATAGTACAGTGAATGATAAACAATAAAAAGAATTATGCATATATTATAATTATTTATAACCGAATCCATTAATTGGGGGCCAATAGAATTTAAGTAAAAATATCTATCATTTTAAATCATTTATCATTTTAAAGATTTGATAAAAATAAATAACAATAAATAATATAAATTACCTGGTGTAGTGGGTCCCATTCCTGATCCTGAGTTTTCTTCATCATCTCTATCATCATTCGTCGAATCTTCGTCATCGTCTTCCATGTCACCTTTTTTCCTCCAACCAGGTCTGTCACCACTTCCGGAACCATCGTGAGCTTCTTCGGCAAGCGGAGTTCCTCCGTCCGGTGCCAATGCCAACTGCAACTGCACTATCTGTGGTATTCCAAACACAATAAAAACTATATATAAATATATATATATATATATGTGTGTATGTATGTATGTGTATGTGTATATGTATATTGTATACAAAGAAGGATCAACAGAAAATACTCTGGGAATATAACCGTAAATTTAACAGATCTGCGATTTATCAAAGTCGGATTAAAACTAGGAAATAGGATTAGAATTCATAAAAGTAATAAAAAACAATAATAAAAATAAAAATGAAATACGATTTTATTTAAATACTCTCCATGATTCGAGAGTTATATGAATTTATTCTTATCTAACAATAAGTATTATTTTCTAACTTTATATGATTGAATTTTTCAATCAGTGCTTTCGAATTAATTTAACAATAAGTCAAACAATTTGTGTGTTGAAGACATTGTTAATAAAAGTTGGATTCAAATTTTATATAGATTGAAAATCTTACAAGTTTGAATAAATTATAATTTTTTATTAAAAAAAAAAAAAAAAAAAAATATTCGAATAACATTAAAGGATAGTTTAAAATGAAAAGATAGTCATAAAAAAAAAATCTGAGATTACAAATGATCGTAGACAGGTAACATGTGTTAGATGGTATCATCTGTATCTTCCGGTCTTAGTAGATCCATTAATCTTCTTGCAATTAACAGGTGATATCRTTTTGGAGTTATCGATCGATCGAAAATCCATAGAATGAAACGACAACAACATTAACAACAAGTAGGACATAAACGATAATGATTTTATCTGATATTATCCAAACAGTTGTTTGGGATTGGTCAACGATGATTAGACGATTAACGTTGAATTGGCGTAGAAGCCAAACGTAAAGTGTTAAGAAATGTCATACTTGATTTTACTTTGAGTTAATTCTGGCACCTGTCCGTTGACTTTTTGCGTTCACCTGTCGAGCACGATCGAGGCTAACGACAAATGTCCTATGCTCGATATCCACCTACGCAATATTTTCGCACCTTACAACATCACGCACGAGCAAACCTTTGCCAAATTTAACTTTGTAACATCGAACGTTTCAATGCAATATGCGTTCTACAAATTATAATATAAGTTTATTTTCAATGATATTTTTATTTATTCTAACAGTCGATCATTTAATTGCATAATCACGATCAATTGCGTTTAATATAAAAATTAAATATATTGCGAATTGTATTTTATATAACCACTTTATATATATTATTAAAATATTATAAAATAATTTTAATAATAAGATATATATCTGTGCTAAAATTAAAATATTATAAATGTTTAACCAATTGCTAATATCAAATAACGAAACAAATACTATATATATATATATATATATATATATATATATATTTAAAAAATATCTTAGTATAAATATAAACATTAAAATATTATAAGCATTTGATCAATTGGTAATATCAAATAACGAAAAAAATATTATCCCCTAGCATAATTTTATAGTTCAAATAATTAGTAAAGTTATATAGACACGGTGCAAAATCCTAATATTCTTATTCATAACAAATTGAAAACTCGTTGAACATTAACTAGACTATAAAACATATCAAACCCCATCCTCTCCAGTGATTAGAGCATAGGTAATCAAAGTTTGAAGAACACAGCAGGACATTAATTATAGAACACATATGCCTTGCATTGATAAGTCTTAATTCGAAAAGATTCGAAGACTAAAAGGGGGAAATGTATTAAAATTACGGTGAAAAGAGATTAATATCAACCAAAATGAGTTTTCACGGGGCGTCGATCCTGTACGAAGTACGAGTACGAAAACACAGGATGTAAGCCGCACGATTGAATCCGAGGCAAGGCTGGCCAAGGCTAAACCGAGCGACAAATTACACTTTATGGACTCACCTGATTAATGTGCTTCAATTGGTCAATGAGTACACGCTGGTGTGTTAGTATTTAATACCGAGGCAGCCTTGCTGTCCAACCAAGACTAAACCAACCGACGACGACGACGACGACGACGAATTACATACACTTTGTGGACTCACCTGATTAATGTGCCTCAATTGGTCAATGAGTACGCTGGTGTTCGTATTGCCGTAGGAAGCGGTTGACGATACCGTTGTCACTGTGAATTCTGGATTGTATCTCTGAGCACTTAAACTGGAGTCTACCACGGTCTTCGAATATCTGAACAGACAAATCAAGTGACATTAGGACGAGTTTGATATCAAACAGATCATATATGCTTATTGCTACTTTGAGAAATTCATAGGCATAGAAGGACGTTATGCTAATCAGATATATTACCAAATGGGGGATTAGCTTAATTTCTGATTGTGCATTAATATGATTAAAGCATATATGAGTCGCTTATTTTGAAAATGGCCTACCTCCATTTATATTCGAATCGAGAGATATTGAAGAATTTGCGTTTCAATGCAATGAAAAATTGCACTAATGAGTTATACTGCTTAAGTGTATCTAAAGGCTTTAAATTTATATTTTTCCTATTAAAATAATGGCAATTATTAAATGAACAATATACGTTTTTTAACCATGAATGGAGTTAGGTCATTGTCATCTATAAAAATTCAGTGTCACACATTGTTGGTTTGCGATTAATTTCGAAACTACTCAACCAATTTTAATGAAATTTTGTTTTGATCAAGCTTATTTTTTTATTTTTTATTGCTAATTTAAGGGATTTATTATACAGAGGTTATCTAAGTTTTTAGATTTTGTAAATATTCAATAGATGGCGTTGTATTTCACACGTTTTTTTTTAGATTTACAAATGACATAACTAACCTTGATTTTTGATATTTTTTTCGAGTATTATTATTATTATTATTTTATGTACTCCATTCTAATTGTAGTATTATTTTGTATGTTTTTATAATTTATTACAAAATTAGGTGTATTATATCTGTATAAACGTGGTACGGAGTTATAGAAATTTACTACAAACACTTTTCAAGTATATTATTATATTTTTTTAGTACGTATTTATCGGATTACAAGTTTAATCATTATTTTTAACATTCTGTACATTTTTCTATTAAGAAGAAACACACACACACAAATATTCTAGGGTATTTATTAGACATTTTCTTTTTTGTATAATTTTTTTTAAATGACTCCACCTTTACCCCCCCCCTCTCCTCCCCTCAACGATAGTAATTTTAGAAAATAGTATTTCTGAGAAAGTGGAATATATATTTTTTTGTTGGAACCGTCAAAAAAAGATCCAGGCAACACCTTTCAACGTTAGTCGATAAAACAACGCGTGTCGAAAGGAGGCAACGAAGGAAAGATGGAAGGAAGGAAGGAAGGAAGGAAGCAAGTATCCTTCGTCTGTTTGCTGGTATTTATGAGAATCGTAACGATGGAGAATCCGTTCGAAGAAAGACGATGCGAGAAAAGCCGTTCCGATTCATTGGCTGCTCGTTGTAATCTTCTGTTGTAGTACTCTTGGTGGTTGGATGTTAGAGAAGTGTTCAGAACAAAAGAGAATAAAATTCAACTTGTGTATTTCTCAGAACCACGTCACTCAGCTTTATCGTTTATACGTTCCCGATCATTCGTCGAACTTGTTACATGTGTTCGATAAAAAAAAATATAGAAACAAAAAAAGGGAAAGAATTTTCATGTACAAAATAAACCGATGCGAAAATGTTAAAATCAAAAAAAAAAAAAAAAAAGAAACAAACAAAAAATTAAATAAAATCAATAACAGATATTATTCTCTCTCGAATATAATTTTCGATGAACATAAAAAGTGATATCAAAAATTGTTACTTTAAATTTGAAACATTTTAATTACATGTTTTTCGAATATTCTTCAGACTCGTATAAGAATTAATTCGAAAAATAAAACAACAACAACAATGATAAAGAATATAATTAATGTTTAAAACAATTATTTAGATAAGTATAATCATTCGATAAAATTTCAACAAGTGTAATCGAGTTAATTGGTAGAAGACGATTGAACGAATTGTTTCTTTTTTTTTTTTTAAATGGAAGAAAATAATTGATCGAGAAGTCATGCAAAAAGAAAATTTCTCGTCTTCTACGTAATTCTGTTTTTCTTGTCGATAGAAAAATAAAAGTGAGAAAGAGTGAAAGAGAAAAGGACAAAGATAAAGATAGAAAGCTGTAAAGAGAAACTGATGGCTATTTAAAGAATAACGAACGTATTTTCTCCCTCTGTGGTGATTCCTTCTATCAAGACTTTTAAATCTTCGATGCGTGCGAGCAACAAACGGTCTCGAGTCATTCATTAAATCACACGAATGTGCATTCACTAATACATACGATCGTACTTATGTATAATCTTATTTACGTATACATGCATGCATATGTATAGTGATACCTATTAGCATCTATGTAAAAATACTGTGTATGAATGTTAATGTGTATGCGTATCTATGATTTCATATGTGCATACATGCATTCTTGAATATGTGTAATTCATATGTGTAAAAATAGTATTTTTATGCATACGAGAAGTATGTGTATGTTAATGTGTATGCGTAAGTATCTGTGATTTCATACGTGCATACATGTATTCTCGAGTATGTTTAGTTCATATATGTGTATAAATACACGTATTTTTATGTATACAAGAAGTATGTGTACAGATATATGAATACGTGTAGATATTTATATGCATATGCGATACTTATGAATATTTCATTTACATTATTGGTTAATATTTTGTAATTGTTATTTAATTAAATAAAAAATTAATATTATTAATTATATTATAATTAATTTAATATTATTATTAACATAATTATTTTAATATTATATTAATATTATTTAATAAAAGCATTATACGAATATATTACAAAAAAAAAAATATGCTGAAAATCATTTAGAAAATAATTCACCTTGTTAACAATTTATAATAATAATAACAATAATAATAACAATGATAAATGTATTAGATTTTTATAAAAATTAATGAACAATTTAAAATGTTTAGTTGTTAGTGTATGTTGTGTTAGTGATGGTGGTGTTATGGGTGCACATGTAATGGTGGATAGTGAGAGAGTGATATTGCTGATGTATTTAATGGTGGTAGTGGTAAAATATGTGTTGGTGTTGGTTGCGTTCTGGCTTGGTGCCTCATTTATCGTCGATTAATCAACGAGTTCCCGGACTCTTCTTCTCTTCCTGATCTTTCTCTCTCTTTCTAAGCGAAAAGGCGGAAAAAAGGAAGAGGAGGAGGAAAAGGGTGAGGGAGAAGATATATGTATGCTTGGAAAGAGGAGAGGAAGGAAACTTTTGCAATAGTATCGCGAATCTTCTTCAATGCTACCCATTCATGGTACACGACCTTCTTCTTCTTCATCATTTTCTTTTTCTTCTTCTTCTTCTTCTTCTTCATCTTTGATTTTCTTTTCGTTCGATCTTCTTTAGAAAGGAAGAGAAAAAGAAGAAATCATTTTTTCGTGAGATAAAAAAGCAAAAATATCTGACTTTAATCGCTTTTTCTCTCTCTCTCTCTCTCCTTTTATTTTATTCTAATCTGTGCTTTTTTAGAAATAAAATAAATTGAATAGATATTAAAGTTAATATATATATCGCGAAGAGATGATTCATGAAAATGAATATGCGATGATTCAAATTAGATTGATCGAGAGAATTATTACGATATTTTAATCTATTTATTGAATATTTGATTATGAATATTAGAGAGAGAGAGAGAGAGAGAGAGAGAGAGAGAGAGAGAGAGAGAAATTTCTAATTATTAATATTTTAAATTTCAAAAATATTTTAACCTATCACGTAATTTTTATGCCATAATCCGATTTAATTATACAAATTATATAATAAATTAATTATTTTAATTTAATCATTTGTTATTAAATCAATTTATCGATCATCGATTTATATACGTGTTTTAATAATTCCTAAATGTTTAATAATAATTTAATTAATAAATGAATCAACATTAATAAATATATAATATTTATAATTAATATATAATTATATATTATAATAAATTTTATAAATAATTAATAAATAATTAAATATATATATAATAAATAATAATTATATTATATTACATAAATATATAATAAATTTGTATGAAACAATTAATTAAGTTGATATAAAACAATTAATGAAATTTGATTTAAATATAGTAAACAAATATTAAATAGGTATTAATAAAACTTAATTAATGACATTTGTAAAAAAAAACTAGATTTTTAATTCTTCGAGATAATTTCATTTAATAGTTGATTTTGTATGCAAACACAAAAACACATAAGCGCAGGAAACCATAAACGAAATGTCAGACGTCAATCGATATTAGTGATGGAAAGACCGACCCTTTTGCAGACGAATTAATATTTCAATAGATAACGAAAACGACAGACCGTGTGTATATATATGTGTGTGTGTGCATGTATGTCAGAATGTATTCGTACGTGTATAATTCATTTGTCAGACGATGCCAGTCTCTTTATTTATACATAAATAATAGTATTGAAAGTGATTCGTTAATAGGAATTTGTTACACGAAAATGTTCAGACATACACATACATACATATTTATATACACATATATGATGTGATCTTTCAAGAAAAGATGATGCATGATCAGAAGATGGCAAAGGAAATATTGATGAGATAAAAAGAATGAAAGAAAGAGAGAAAAAGGGGAATAGAAACCACGTGATTAATTTCATTTCATCCCTGGGAAGCTTTTGTAATTGGAAAAGGGTCTTGGGAATTTTCGAAAGATCCAGGTGAAGTATATACGAATCAAAGGATCTGTGATTGGAGCGTTGATTTCCAAAAAGACAAAAAGACGAAGATAAATTACACTTATTTTTTTCTCTTTTCTTTTTTTTTTTCAAGACTATCTTGACGTGACGATATATTTTTTTGTTTTATTTTATATATCAATAATGTTTGTAATAATATTTAAGGAATTCGTTAAAATTTTATTTTCTTCATTTAAACATTTTGTTGAACAACTTTATATATTAAGTTTTTCTTTTTCATTTCATGAAAATAAAATTATAAATGTTTATTATATCTTTCTTTTTTTTTCTTATTTTAATTATTAAAATTTTCTCAATTTTCTACATGAGCATTCATTTCAATATATAAACTTTTAAAACAAGTTATTTCAATTCAATAAATACAATATATTCATTTAATGCAAT